CGTCGCAAAAGGGACTTGAATTTATTTCACGGAATAAGATACAACCGACCATGAGAGATCACGACATACCTAACCTACGTATCTTATCCGTCGCTTTGCAATTGAACTGCTCATGCGAAAATATGCAAATCGTTATTAACCCAAAGTCTCTTGGTCCAGTTCGCTCAGTTGGCAGACAGGAACAATTGCTTTCATCACGACTATTGTCCGAGTCGAGATTTTGATTCTAACGTATCATAGCAACAGGTAAGGGCTTCATGCAAAAAGGGTTTAACTTCGTACGAATATGAACATTTCTTGGATATTATCCAAGGTCCGGAGATAGGGATTAGCTCTATATAGTGGGCCCAACTGTGTAGGAACCTGAAGACGGAGATAGAGTCCCATCTCCGAAACGTCGTTTTACGTTTTATATTTACTAGACGATGGAAGGTCCGGAGATAGGGATTAGCTCTTATCTAGTGAGCCCAACTGTGTAGGAACCTGAAGACGGAGATAGAGTCCCATCTCCGAAACGTCGTTTTACGTTTTATATTTACTAGACGATGGATAATATCCAAGAAAATTTTTATTCAATTGACTCTTCACCATCGTCAAGAACTTTTAGATTTGATGAACATTTCTGTGAGCTCTCTTCGCACTGAATGCCTCGGACAGTTCAGTCGCGGCAGGGACTGATCTGTCTGCCTGAGCAACAGGTGTTTGACCGCGGTTCCATTCCAGGGAGGGACAGACCAGCTTTGGGATTCATCCAGTTACCTATCCACCAGGGTTTTATCTTCGGGGGTAAAGCGGCCGGGGTGTGAAGCTAATCATCTCCTAACCTCCATCTAAACCGAGGTTATGAAACTGTACGTCCACTCCCACAAACGTCTTTATGTTATGATTAATTAAACAAAGGGTCAACTTTACCTTTGTGGGAAGTGTACGAAATGGACTTTATCAAAATCATCCGGCCATTCGTAGAAGAAATCACCGCTTTAGGGTTTGATACACGTGCATGGAACATATGACGTGGACAGTGTTTAAATAAGTGACAGAGATAAATAAAAAAAACTTCCCAGCGAACAGAAGTTATAATTCCATGCAACGTTGTATCTCTACTGTTGATTAGCTGTGTCAAATGCAAAATGAATGATCGAATTCGACGAATTATAAAAAATAAAATAAAGCATTTTTAAACTTTGCTAATAATTTTCTACTTATTTACGATGAGAAATAAAGAAAACGGAAGTAATTATAATAATTTGGAATTATGCAGTTTAAGCTCTTGTTATTTTTTAACCCCCCCCCCCCCCCTACAAGTTATAAAACAGAGCTGAATCACTTTTGCACCAAACTCTTAAATTTCTGCTGAACTCCTTTCTTCTCTCTCTCTACCGATAAAAAGGGCATATTTAACACACGGAATTATTAGCCTTGTCTCCTCGTTTCCTGTGAAGTTATAATTAGCCGAAAGGAAACACGATCACAGAGCATTTTCATGCACAGCAAAGACACTGAATGCTTGCCGTCACACACCTGTGAAATCTGATGACGCGAAAAATGCGGAATGTCATTTATGAACACGTGAAGACTCCGGTTGTAATAGAGCATTAAAGGGTTCCGGCTATTATTAAACTCTTATGTAACTACGAGACGCTGAGAAACAGCGCGTGTTGTCCCCAGACAACAGACGAGATGCCATGAAAAAAGATGAAATAACTCCACGAAGCAGAGTCCTTCTTGAGAAGCTAAATACTAAGCTCAGGTAGTCAATAAATCCCTGCCCCAGATGAATCCAGTCCACAACCTCCTATCCTATTTCCTTAAGATCCGTTTTAATATTATTCTGTTATCTACGCCTAGTTTTACGAAGGTGTATATTCCCTTCAGGCTTTTCAACTCAAATTTTGTACGAATTTCTTATCTCTTTCATGCGTGCTACAAACCTTTCTCATATCATACACTTTCAAGTTATTTATTCAAGCTAATAATATTTGGGGAGAGTGCAAATTACGAATTTCTTCGTCGTGAAGTTTTATCTATATTATCCTGTCACTTTATCGCTCGTAAGTCCATGTATTTCCTCTGTTCTCAAACTCTTAACCCTAGGCCTTGTGGCGACGTACCGGCTCGTCCGGCATTTAAATCGAAAGCTGAGTGTTCGCCGTACATTCTCGTCCGGCTGTAAGCCTAATTTCAAAAGCCCATAATTATGGAAAGAATAACGAATTCTTAAAGTAAGAGACAAAGTTTCACACACCCGTAAGAAACAGGCAAAAATTATAGTTTTGTATATTTTAATATTTTTCGAAGCGATAGGAAGACAATAGAGTCTCTGGTGAACATATAGAAAACTGAAACCTTATTTTCAATAGCACCTGAAAGGGCTCGTGTTTCGAAATTCTGCTCTATGTCCCTCGTTACGAACCCTGGAATACGAAGATGGTATACGTACTTATGTAATTTGCAGCTTTCGTAATTAAGCGAAGGTAAGCGAAGATTTTAATTTTTATTCGTTACTTTTTCATACGTTTTTCAATAAAAATGCGTTTTTAAGTACAACTTTATATAATTTACAGTCATTCTTCACGAGCAGTTTCCACTTTCCACACGAAACTTTTGTAACTGGCTCCATGCAAACTCCTATACCTCGCTCCTTTTTGCACAAAAATGGATTAAAACAAGATAGAGGGGGCATTTAAGAAACGATAAGACGAAAGGTGAAGTTTTTAAGGTAAAAACTAGAGTCTGGAAGTTTGTAAAAGGAATGTAATTTTTTGTGCATCCAATGAACATCCAAAGAGAGAAGTATTCTAAAGGTCTGAGGGACGTTGAAATGTAGGATAAATGAAACTTATCAGAGCAAAAATGGCGTAATAATGATTGACTCATTGATTAAACCACAGCTGCAATTTGCAATTTACGGACGTGTTGGCAACTAACAGCTGCTAAAAATATTCCGATTCGATTCACCATGTCTTCTAAATGGTAATTCATTAAATTCGATACCGGGGAATATTACTAAAAAAAAAAAAAAATTTAAACGCAATCCAATTTTGGTTAAAATCGGACATCGACGATAGATACTTTACACGATGACCTTGGTGTATTTCTGGGGGCCGAAGTGACTCAATGGGGATTCCTCGCGTGCAGAATCCATCTGGTAGGGGAGGTCGGTGGTTATAGGCGAGATATCTCGTGCGTAACACGGAAGGGGTTGATTTATAACTTCGGTTACCTAGAAAATATTTAAAGAAGAGATTTCGAAATCAGTTCTTCTCGGAACTTCTAGATCGTTACACTATAATATTATGATAACATTCTTAAAACGATGGGAATAAATAATATAACTGGTCTGAACTGGAATCGAAGCCAGAGCGAAGCGACGTACCAGAAGATGCGGGTTATAAAATTATAATTATAACATATAATAGAAAAACAAAGTAAGAGATGATAACGTGAGGATGCAGGTCCCCAGGCAGTGCCCACTCGTTCTTCTGGTAGAAACAGATTTGGTAAAGGTAAGGCATTCGGAAGTGCACAATTTTGAATTTTGATATTACGTCTTTATGTTGATATGGGGGGGGGCTACTTTAGGGAAGATTTTTGATATTAACACTGGGAGAGTTGAATGAGATCATCTTATTAAACCCTTAAGGATTCAGGCCGTACCTCAAAGACGATCATGCTTTGCGGTGATCAAGGAAATTATCACTATTTATTCTGAAAATCATGCGAACAAAATGTAGAATTACTGATTGTTAAAGAGCGGTACATATAGTTACCACTAGATTTTAATGGGTTAAGTATCGGGGAGGGGGAGGGAGAAGAAAGTAGTAATATGTCAGGTTAAAACGTGTTTAAAACAAAGCCCCAACGGACGTGATTATGTTTCTGTTTCAAACACGTGTCTGAGAAAGCAGGAGGAGATAAATGCGTGTCCTGTTTTGCTCTCTACTTTCTACGTGTTATATTAGAGTACAGGTAGTCCTCGATTTACGCCGGGGATGCGTTCTTGGACGAACCGGCGTAAACCGAATCGGCGTAAATTGAAACTTTTTTATAATGTAAATTAATGAGAATTCAATGACATGCGTTCCCAGCAACCAAACACTGACGAGTAATATAATGGAATTACATTTAAAGCTCTGAAATAACGTAAATAAAATAAAGGTAAAATTTCTTTTCTTCACATTTTGATTTGCTGGTTTCAAAATCGGCGTTATTCTGAATCGGCGCAAATCGAGGGCTACCTGTATTATGCACATAAAGAGCCGAAGAACTGCCTTAATTATTGTAAATCTGTGAGATTATTTTTCAGCCTGACACAAATTTTATTATGCTTATTTTAAAACAAAATAATATGAACAAAAGACGAGTAAATTTTGAACAGACATCGATATACAGTATATCGATTTCAGTTTGAATTTTTTTTAAATGTAAGTTCTCTATTTAAACCACACTGCGACAGACATTTACCGACTGTGATATATAATAAGTGTACAAGAATGTTCATAAATCTCGTACCACGTGGGAAATTTTTTGACTGCTGGTCTCAAAGTGTTGAGCTTCCAATTGCCAATAAATGCTCATGCCGGTGCAACAGAAACCCACCTTCAAGTTGATGTTTGTCATATTTTAAATGTGTTCGTGTTTACTGTAAATTCAAACTGTGTTAAACATCTTACGTGTGCACGGTTCATTACAGTGGATCTGTGTACAAAATACAAGTAATATTAATATAGATATAAAAATGGGAAATAAGAAACATGTACAGAATTTTGGTTGGGAGGCCTCCATAAAATCATCCAATTCAAATAAAGATGGAATGATAATATTAAAACGGAGGATCATACGAGAATTATATCTGACGAGTCAAATGGGGATTTTGATCAATGTCCAGATTCTGTTATCAAAGAGTCAAGTTAGTTTGTTAGTCGGACAGCAGGTTATACGACGAGTCAGTCCGTGTTGTGAAATCCAAAAACCTGAACCCCGCGCCCCGTCTGTTGCAGGAGTGCTGAGCAACATGCAGCAGTTTTTTGACAGCCTCCGAACCAACCTGGAAAGCCTCGAGCAATTGCCGCAGGAGGAGAGAGAGGCGCTGCTAGGACAACAGGTTCCCTCGGCTTCAGGTACGCCTAATTTGGAAAAGATCCATCCGTCTTTTATTTCTTCACTGCGTCCTTATATTAATATTATCCTTCCATCTCCTTCTAGGTATTCCCATTGCTCGCTTTCCAAGAGATTTCTCTGACAAAATATATGAAACACTTCTTATTTTCCATTC